TTTTATCTTTCATCTATGCAGCAGGACATGCTGCACTGTCCTGGCAGGTGCTGATGTCTTTGTCTCTTGGTCACTTGTTCTATGCAGCATGTATCAGATGGTCACATTTACTATCAGAATATATGTCATGGCTGCATTGTCAAGTACATTCTTCAGGAATCCTCAAGGAAATCCGTGCCAGTCCTCTATGGACAAACTTTCTACACTGACTTTATCCCTACATCAGCCTGAGCAGGCCTCATCTGCTCAAAAGCAGAGAACGTAAGGAAGAGCAAATGCACTTCAAAAGAAGGGACAGATAATTTCTGAATATCTGCATTCCCCTCACTCATTTATTTTGCCACCCTTCCTGCGCCTGTAGCTGTTGAAGGAAAAAGCCCTTTGTAGCACAGTCACTGAATGGGCTTGAGCACCATCCCTGCTGACAAAAAGAGGATGCAGACCAGTGCCAAACAGAGCCCAAGAAGTGCAGTTCACCGGAACTCAGTGTTAGTCTCAACCAGACAAGGGCTGGGCAATTATTCCATTCAAGGCATCTATCCACTCCCTCTGCTCCCTATCGTTCTCGCACAGAAACAAAAACTCTCTCATTGGTGTGACCATGGTGATCCCTGATTTCCTCTTCTTTACAGATATTCCCTGGGGCAAGCCAGCTCTTACTTCATAGCCCTCGACTCTCCTTCCAATAAAAACTTGGCCTTGTGGAAATGCATCCTAGAAGGAAGGAAACAAAAGACATTCATTAGCCAGTGGACAATTCAGCTCTAGCAGACATTATTCCATCCTTGACATGGAGCAGGAGGAGATGGAGATGAGTGAAAGGGTCTCTGAACTGGTGACAGGCAGAAAACATACTAGAGCCATTTCACACTCTCGAGCATTCTCAGAAGCAAGAGCCTATAACTGCAGAGCTGGTTGAGTGTTCAGAAGGAGCATAGTAGGATATTCTTGTAAGAGCAATGGTAGGAAACAGGATATTGCCCTCTGGAATATCACACATCTTGCCTGAGGTTCCATGTGTGACTACAAATTGGCTGGGAAAAAAACAGGCTGTAAAACTTAACAGCAGTAGCAGCTACCTTTTAAAAAGACTTACATCTTCCTTACAAACACTCTGAGGACCAGAGTTCCCAAACAGCTCAGCTTCAAAGATACCTCCGACAAAGGAGATTAGCTCTAGAGATTACCTTGTTTGTTTTATGCAGCTACTGGGAGAGCTGGATTATAACAGACCCTTTCTCCCCACCCACCTACAGGAAGGAACTTGTGGAATAGTGAAGAACACTCTTTTTACCAGTGGGTTTTTAAAGTACAGCAGGTTCCTCTCTTCAGAGTCTAGGCTGAACCAGCGCATCTTAAAGGTCTCCTTCTGCTGCAAGTAGATGGTAGAAGTTCTTTAAAAACCAAGTCCCAAAGACAATTTTTTCCCAATCAGAGCAGATCCCAAGGTTGCTTAAGTGACTCTGAGCTCGAATTCGAACCCATCCTCTTAATTGGCAACTAGCGAGTCACTGCTGTATGCAACTGGAGATTTGCATTTAGTGGCAATCCTCTGGATAAAGCACAGAAATTCATTTTGCTAACAACCCATTCAGGTTAAAAAAACAACCACAGTGCGTGGATTAATCAAAATCACTGCAGAAAACAATCCGTGGGCCAGTGGCTATCACAAGGAGAGCGTGCAAACAACTTCAGGATTTTGGTTTGGGATGTTGTCCCTGCCATTGCAGTATGGGCATTTATTTTTTAAAGTGCTAATTCCATCAACTGCACTCATGGAAACATTCCCTGAGATATTCATTGCTCCATGCTGAATAGTCCTCTTCCAGGGCTCACTCCAGTTTGAGTTTAGGCCTCAGGAAAAAAAGCAAGCCAAAACATGCTTGAAGCTGTGAGTATTCTCTCTACAAGTACCTGCAGGAAGACGTACTGGGAGGCCAGCACAGAGGTAGGCAAAAAAAAACCTACCATCAATATTCAGTATTTAATCACTAAATTTTTCAATAGGACTTTGACTCGCAGTTCATCCAGAGGAGCAAGGCAACAAGTACCAGCATTCAAACAAGATCTCAGGTCTTCCTATGCTCTTTAGCAGAGCCTGAAATCTCTCTCTCAATGTTTCAATAAGTAGTAGCCCAAGTACTTTCCCACAAAAATAAACAACCAACCCAAACCATAGGTTTAACACTGAAGAATTTGCCACAGTAAAGAGATGTGACTTCTGTGCTACTAACTTAGATAAATAGGGAAATAGGGGGGCTGGCATGTGATTTTCAGTTCCAGAGGTAGCTGCAGTTCAAGAGCTGTAATTAGTAGGCAACTGATACAGTAATTCATTCAGTGTTGCCTAACAGTACTTTGCATTTCCACTGCCTACTAATCCATCTTGCAACTCTTCAAGAAGGATCCTCCTTCACAGTTTTCTTCTCCATACAAAGTAAAACATGATCCTAAACAACACAACAGCCTTGAATACAATGTCATTATTGACCCAGCCCCCTTAATAAATCATTTATGAGTAAGCACCATAGAATTATCAAACGATCTCCTTCTGGAAGAATCTTGCTTCTGTCAAGTAGGTAATCTCAACCTACCTTTGGTCCTGTTTTCTCCATATATCCTTCTTTGATATAGTTTCTTGTGATCCGGGGTATGATCTAGAACAAACGCACATAAATATCTGCCATCTCATTCAGGCTCATTTTTCTGTTCTTTTTCTGTCAAAGCAAATCACTGGCAATTTTGGCTTTTAGGGCTTGGGGTTTTTTTTTTCAGCTGCTCAGCAAAGGGAAGTCTGAATTAAGAAGGAACACAGGATTTTTGACAGATTTCAGTATAAAAGGAAACGGAGTCTTTCTGGCCTTAAGCGTTTACTTCCTTTCTGCATGTTAGCCACAGTGTGACCTTTTTTTCTCTTCATCTTCTGTCCATCTCAAGGCTTACTACTAATTTGGCACGCTATATAGGCTGACTGTTGTCTGGTTGCTTTCAAAGAGATGTTAATTTTACCTATCTATGATAAGAAAAGTGACTGTTTTAAGGAATGTGAAGGAATACAGCAGAAAAAGAAGCAAATTCAGTGATGCTCACTGCAAAGAAAAGAATAAAGTGGGACAGAGCATCTTTGTGTTTACTTGAGAACCTGATATTCCTGCCCAGCAAGGAGATGATCAACGGGTCAGTGTAAGAGATGGCCAAATGAGTTTTAGTTTGTGTTTGCCATTAAAAGACTTACCTTCATTTCCATCTCTAAGACAACTGAATACTAAGGAATATTTGTTGGCACCAACAGAGACAGTGAGCGTGAGTGATTAGAGTGATCACAACACTGAGCATGAATGATTAGAGTGATTACACACAGTTGGTATAGCTAAACGCAGATATGTTTTGAAGAGCAAACAAAGATTTAGCTTTCATATCTGATGTCAACCAGAAGGAGAAAAAAAGAATGAGGTGTAACTGTCAGCACTAGCTGTGCAGAAACATAAGGTTCAAATATATCAAATAAGAGGGGAAACAAAAGCACCATCTCCTGCCATATTATGTAGGTAAGCGTGATGGTCTCTCAACTAGGCTCTCTATCTATTTAGTACACAACTGCATCTGCTCTGCAGATTCATTTTTTCCCAGTGCCATCACACAGAGTCTGTCCACAGTTCCACTGACACCTATACCAGCTTTACGTATTTTAAAGCTGCTGCCTCCAAATCACAGTATTAGAAGCAGGCTGAGGCACACTAGGAGCCTGCCTCTTTCTCTAGAGAAAGCACGATGGCAGCTGGCATTTCCAAGCCTGCATGCTGCTGTTTGAGCACCTGGTTCTGGCACAAGTGGGAAAATGCTTTCCCGTAATGTGTTTGCACAGACTGCTTCATGCCTTGTTAAGTTCTCACCTCGTGCTCTGAGAGAGCTGGGAAGGTAGTTCTGAGATAATGGTAACGTGCAGCCCGAATGGCATTGAACCAGTCAACAATCTCCTAGGGAAAAGAGCAATACAAACAAAAAGACAAAAATAACATGAAGGGGTAAGAATGATGCCTTTCCAAAAAGGCCTTTCTCCTTCCTTGTAATCTCTTTGCAAATACAGAATTTCTCTCCAATGGCCAGAGAGAGTCAGTGACTTGTCCAAGACACCTGAAAAACACTCAGCTTCCAAAATAAGTTTTAAATGCCTCTCCAAGAAGACTCTGGACAGGCTTTTTCAGTTGCTTCAGTTGTGGACTCTTTAGAAACCCTCATACCTGGAAAGACTTCAGAACTATATCAAGGGAAGAAACAGAAATCTAACAAAGCCTGTAGACATGCTTCTTAAAATCACCATTGTTTGTTTGGAAATAATGCAGAACAACTATATTCTTCATGTGCGTCAAGAGGCTTCAAAGAATACAAATCACTGAATTATATAAAACCATCAGAAAATTATCTTAGACACTTATGTATGTGCCATAAAGAATCTGTGAGAATATTCAGTGTGTGAAGCTGAACACTCCAACAGAACAGGACCAAGATGTTGCAGATCCTAGTGTAAAATTCAGCAACATTCTAAATTATACAAGTCATAGTGATTTTGAATCAGACCCTGCAAAAACAAGATAGCTCTTCCAAAATATAGACCCAACATCTGACAGTACTGCTCATTCCAAAATCTCTGACATTCACCTTTCCGCTTTCATGATAGACAAAAAGGTTCCTTGTTTGACCATCTGTCTTGTATGTGATTTGCAGCCCGTGAGCATGATGGATTTTCTCTGCCTGGAACATCACATTCAGTTTCTCAATGCTGATAACGGCTTTTGGACCTTTGGACTGTGAAAGTGAAAAGCATCACTGTATTAAAATGGTCAAAAGAAAGGCAATGGAAGACGGATTAGCTGAGAACTAAATCCTCACTGATCAGAAAGTGCCTGACAACGTGATATATCCGGAGTACAAAAGCTCAAGTTCTATGTTACATAAAATCACCTACACAACTCCCTTTCCCTGAAAATGTTTGGCTCTGGAGTGATGTGTCTCCAACTTCATAGTAGGAAGTCAATTAGTTCCCCTTCCATGGGAGAGTGCAGCATGTTGAGGATGTTGCTGCAACAGCTGATAAAAGAATATTTTGGTAATGTAAGAGGTAGCAGCTGCTAACAGATCTCCTCTTCACCTTGCTATTCACTGTCCATTTCCTCTGTTCACTAAGGAAAAGGAGGCTGCAGGGAGGAGATGAGGGAGGAGAAGGCTTAATTCCACAAGAGCAATTGTCTAAGATACCACAGATGTTAGTGTGCAAACATCTGGGTTGCTCCTAATACAGGCTGCTAGAGACAAAGCTATTTGTGCTGTTTCCAGCTGATAAGGAGCAGAGCCTGAGGCTGGATGTGGACCAGCTACCTGCAATTGACCCTGGCTGGGAACTCACTTCTTTAGTGTAGTACTTCATCACCCCTTCCCTTGCTGACAGGAGAAACCGCCTCTGCTTGAACTGCTTGCTTTCCCGTCCACGCTTCCAGAGGAATCCTTCATGGCTACCTGCGTATTGCGTGGAGACAGGGGTCAGACAAAGGCAGCACAGCAGCAGCACTTTTATCTGATGTGTCACAGAGTTTCAAGTTTCTTTTCCATCTGAGAATTTTCACCTCAAATAGAACAAACCAGTGGAGAACTACAGAACTGTGTGAGCATATATGAGCTAAACATACTCTGCACTTGTTAGGAGCTTCTCCTCAAAGTTACAGACTTGAAGAACTGCATATCCAACATTTCATTCGATGCAAGCCATCCCTAAAGGCCTTCAAAGGTGCAGACAAAATACCGTGCTGTTGGCCTTAAAACAAATACCTTTTCTCTGACAATCCTAGCTTTTACCTGCAGAACAAGGATCTTGGCAGACTCGGGTGGCAACAAATTCCTCACGCTCATATTTAGCTCTAATCCATTGTTCTCTTAAAACCCTGAAAGAGGAAAACATGGATAAAGCTGATCTGCCTCTACCCTATTTTCACTGACCACCCCAAAGGACCTGCAGAGGGAAGCAGTAGTTTGATAGCTGTGAAGGTCTGCTGCACTGAACAAACAATCAACTTACAAGCAATCACAGGACTGGGGGATGTAATAATAGGGAGGGACTTTTGCTTCATATTTAGCTTTGGCACAGAGATTCCCGTGCTTCTTCATAAACTGAAATACAAAAGAAGATCCAGTTAGGTCTGCAAATACAAAACCAATATCACGTAACAAACACAGAATGAAACTTGGATCAAAGGGAACACTGCACACTTTGCTCAGTCTCACTCTACCTTTCAGCATCTCTGGAGTTTATAGATTTCCTTTAGAACTATAGTTTGCACTTTTTAGATAGCTGGCCCTTTTCAGTACTTTAAGTTCTGAACCAGATGGGAGGGAACACAACGTTGTGGTTGTTAATTAAAATGACAGAATAGAGTAAGGAAGAAAATATATATTTACGATCTCCCTTTATCTTCACCTATCCCTAGAAATAAGTGATGGCTGTGCTATTAACACATTTCCACAGAAAGATGACAAGTTGAAGCAACGTTTAAGGTTATTTTCATTACTAAAGGGAACGTACTATCTGGACATATCAGTGGGATCTAAGCTTTGATATGCAGATCACTGCAGCCTGTTAGAAATACCACCACCCATCAGTGTAATTTGATCGAGTAGGTCATAGAAAATCCCTGAAGTTACCCATGCAGTTAACTTTGCTCTGTGTAGCTTTGCTCCTCTGTCCATGGTGGATGGCACAAATTCTGAGTCACAAGTTATGCTGAAATACGGAGAAAGTAAGTGAATTATTCCTTTTCCTTCCGTACCTCTATAAGATCGTTCTCCCAGAAGTCAAGCCAAAGGGATTTGACCCTGCTGACTTGAGGAAGATTGCGATGGATTCCAGAGCACATCAAACAAATGAATATTCCAAGTTTGTAAGAAGCCCACTCTGGATCTAGACACAAACAAGAAGAATGTACTTTATAATACTGGTATAACTAACTGGGAAAAGGCACAGCCACTGATGCACAGCCCAGGTTTCACACCTAATACATCAAATCCCACCCCACTGTTTACGGCTGCCATTTGCGCACGTTTAGAGGAACAGCACCTGCTTTTCCCATTGAAGAATGCAGCCCTGAAATCTGTGAACTTTTTCACAGAGCATTTGTTTAAAAATTAACGTGACCGTTCAGGCAGACGAGCAGCGATGTGGAAGCTAAGCTAATTATTAGTTCATCGTAGAAGGTTCTTGTTGCTGAATTTGGAAGGCTATTTCGGACAGCGAGCACAACTAAGATCACACGGAGCGCAGCCGCCCGGGACCGCAAGTGGAAGCTCCCGCCTGCCGCAGCCGCGTCCAATCGATGCTGAGAGGCGCTGCAAGCGCACCAGCAACTTCATTTCCTCCGGCCGCCTCTCCCTTATCGCTCCGAACAAACGCAGCTTGGCGCTTCTTCGCAGCCGCTGAGGGTTACCGACCGACTACCTGGTCCCCCGAGCTCCGCAGCCGCCCGCCGGCTCGGCTCCTCTCCTGCGGCGCGGCGGCAGCTCCACGCAGCCCCGGAGAAGCGGCCGGAGGCCATTTCCTGCCCCGCCGCCCGCGCGCCCCTCGTCGCTCCCGGAGCCCGGCCGAGCGACCTCCGCCGAGCGACCTGCCGCGGCGCTGCCCTCCTCGGGAAACCGCCCGCTCCGTCCTCCCGCCCCTGGGGTGCGCGAAGCTAAAGGCGATGAAACAGAGGAAGGGACAGAAACAGAGAACGGCCGCACCTCGCACCCGCGACGGGATGGGCGGGCGCCCGGACGGCGGGCACGGCCCCGCATCCCCGTCCGCACCGCGCCGAGGGGCGGCGGCTGCGAGAGGAGCCCCCGGTCCTTACCCGGCTCCCCACAGTCGGCGCAGCGGCCGTTCCCGGTGACCTTCAGCAGCTCCTGCAGCAGCGTCTTGTTGCGGTCGCGGTCCATCACCGCCGCCCGGCGCGGAGCTCTGCGGGTGGAGCCCGGCGGGAGGCTCGGCCCCGGCACGCAAAAGGAGGAACTCCTTGGGGGCCGCCTCGCGCGGAGGAGCCGCCCCAGCACTGCACCGGGAGTCGGTAACAGGCGGACTGCGAGTACCGGTCGGGAACCGCGGCGAGCTGAGAGCAGCCCTGCTGCAACGCTTCTAGCCGCGCTGCTAACAACGCGCTGAAAATGAAGTTTCGATCATCGCACAGCCCCGAACCGAGCGCACAAGCTGCCCACAACCAACTTCCCTCTTTCCGGTCTGAAAAAGTATTGCTAAGGCTCCTGCTTTCAGGGAGCCCAGATGGGGCACGGCTCATTTTTCCCTCGGCAGCAGCCCCATCCTTTCTGGACAGCGTTTTTTTTTCTGGCACAGCAGCAGTAGGAGCCCTTGCTTTAGTCTCTGAACTGACACTAGTCCTTGGACCTGAACTGACACTACTTAAGTTCCTGACTACTGTAGTGTAAGGGTTAGTACTTCAAACAAACCATCACCAGTAGAATATCCTTCATTCAAAAGAGCTGCAGCTGTTTTCATGAGGTAATTGCACACAGGTCACAGATCAGAGGATCAAAGAGTGAAAATACTTGAATTCCACCTTACCTTTTGGACTCAGCACCAGCTTGGAGATTCCTGAACAAAAATTCTTAAGGCAGTTAGTAGAACCAGACAACCAAGTTCAGGAGGAGTTACCTCTCACTCCTCATTTACCTTTCCCATCTACTTCCTGAAATGAACAATAGTTTATAGAGCCTTTTTCTGATAGACATAGGTCCATACTGTAATTACCCTAGGACTGTGATCCTTTATAGAGAAGTGATTTTTCTTTTTCTTTGTAAAAAATAAATACGGAAGTCGCTCCAACCATTGACTCAGCAGCACAAGCCATTAAAATTTTAACAGCCACCACTTTATTTCACTCACTGATAGTTCTCTGCTACTGAAAGAGTAAAGTGTAAAGGTTATCTACAGCACCGTTATTTCAAATAATTTACTGTTTCCATAATTATTTTTCATTCATGAAAAATGACAACAGAAGGTACCAGAAAACGGCCTTGTTACAGAAACAAGGAGGTAAACAGAGCACCACTGTGCTGCAACAATCCCTGTTTGAGAAGAAGAAAAACACAGTTGAAACCGCAGTACAAAGTCAGAAAAGAATATGGATGAAGTAGTTCCAGTTAAGAACATCCTCACATACATTTTCACAGATGGAAAACATTGTTTTAGAGACTTTGCTACAGTTTTGGATGCTTCTGATAGGAACAGTAAGACTTTATCAGATATACTGTTGTATAAAAACAGATGGTATCACAATGAGGCTGAAGTCAAATAGAAAATGAAGTATAAAAATAGAACACAATATACAAAAGTGGAAGCAATTAAATATTACTGAACTTGAAGTAATACTTGAATAATTGTTATTTACAAAATCACACCTAACGTCTGAGTTCATCTTGTACTACAGGATTCATTTCTCTATTCTTTTAAGGAGATTAACACGCAGGTCAGCTGAAAATATGAATGAAGTGAAACCAATGTACACAAATATATGTACATGGAAGCACAGTGCTCTGTAATGACTTAGTTGGTTATCTGCATGTTACTGAGGAGGGATTTGTTTTTAGTCATTTACATTTCAGAAAAGCATTTGCTTTCTCTCCCTGTTCCCTTCTCACTCTGGGTTATTTAACACATATGCAAATTCTGAATGAATCAGGCCTATTTTAGTCAATCACCTCCTCAAAGAGGAGGAGAAAAAGAAAGCAAGCTGTTGAAGCTGAGAGTTCCATGTTTGAAACCAAAGTAGTACCAACTGATCAGCTGGTGCATTTAATATTCTAAACGCACGTACTGACAAGCACCAAACAAACCCACATTTCAGATGTGGAGAGCAATATTATGACAATAGATATTTACAGTATTTTAAATAATTATAGAAATTTAATATACAAATGGCTCTGAATATACAATAAAATAACATGGTAAAAAAACCCTGCAATTATGGTGAGAATACCACCATTAGGCACAAAGTATTTCTGGTGCTAGTGATTCTAAGGGAAGTCTAGAGACAGACTGCTGATTGCTTGTCTGGGTATTTCAAGATGAATTCCCTCAAGATAATGCAAAAACCTAAAAAGAGAAAAAGGAAGAATGACTACAAGATGACAAAATTACTTCCAAATGGCAGATAAAACATTTAGAAAAGCAACATCTACCCTTTCTGTCTAGAAAGATTTAAGAAAATATTTTACCAAAATTCTTGAACTACCTTGCAGACTGAAGCATAGCAAGATTTAAGAAAAGCCAAGCTTACCTTCTTTTTGTCTTTCCTTGCTCTTTAAGCTTCTCAGACCTACAAATGCTACGAAGAGTAGGGAGATACTCGAGTATGCTGGCTTGCTTATTTCCAAGGTTCAAAGGAGCTCTGGAAAATACAGTTCTGATGACTGCCAGCCTCTTCTGTGCTTTTTTGTGGATGCTAAAATAAAGAATGAAGCTTTACAGTTTCTTGTTCAAGAACGTATCTGCAACTTTAAGATCAAATCCACTTGATTAAACTGCTAAGGAGATACTGGTTTCCAAATCTGCTTTCAATGGATACCTGCACTAGTTACACAGCATCACAGAGATGCCCTTAAAAACATGAGGGGCTGAAGATAGTTTTCCCAGTGTTCTTAGCTCAAATACAGAGTCTAGCCTGGGGAGGTCTTCACAATCTGGTCAAGTATGTGAGGTTGAGTACATCCATCACATAGCCAAAAGCATCTGTGGTCTTCAAAAAATAGAAGAATCAGGTAACTGCCATTCTGGATGTATGCTGTGTTGGCCACACATGGTCACAGGTTAGATAGATCCATTTTGACACTGCTCTTCTGGGTATGGATTACAGAAAGGCAGTACCTCTGGGTTACATTTATCTTCACCAGGTAGCACCTACACATGTAATAAGACTCAATATAACCAGGCACTAGATGAAAGAAATTGCATTTCTTGTACCTTCAGAACCAATTTCAGTCCAACTGACTGGGAAAAGCCTTGAAATTCCTTTAAATTTCTGTTTTTCTTACTGGAGTAACAGTGTGTGAATTGAATTTAAAGTATATAGACCACCATTCCTGAACATTATGGTCAGAGTATTCAAATGTTATTTTGGGCAGCAACTGCTAAGCAGTTAATTTGAGCTCATTTAAGCAAAGTTAACAACTTATTCCAGTGTTCTCAGGCCTACTGAAAACATTCATGTTGGCACAGTATCTGAAGCAGCGCTACACTGAGAAATGCTCTTCTGGACAAATAACTCCAGAAATATTAGCAAAGCCTTACCTTAAATCAGCTGACTGATTGAAAGATACAGAATTTCTCGTGTCTGACACATGCAAAGTCAGTCCCTCAAGTTGATCACTTCCAGGCGTATTACTTGTGCTCAAAGGGGCTTCCAAGTTTTGAGAAATACTAACAGAACATTTGTTAAAGCTAAGTGCTTCAATAGCTGCTTTTATTTCACTGCAGCTCTGAGAGCTCCACCAATCAGTATTTTCAATACTGAATTCATCACACAGACCATTCTTGATTTTGCCATTCATCCAGTTGAATCCTTCATCTTTAGAGAACTCTAGTGGCTCCTTTGCAGGACTGTTTACACAGCAGTCCAAAAAAGACATGTCCTCCACAAATTCAGTCAGAGAATTCAGACACTGAACAACAAGAGCAGATCTTCTGTCATTTGATGGGGCTCTGCCTTTCATTTCTTTTCCTTTTCTGTTATTCATCAATTTTGATTCCTCTTCATTCACTTTAGCACACGGTGGAGGACTATCTGATGGCAAAGTTAAGAATTCAGCTGAACAGTTCAGTCCAGTATCAAATAAGTCACTATCATCCAATTCTTCAAGCCTTTTCTTGCTCTTTGTCTTTCTAGATTTTTTCCCAGAGTTACTTTTCCCATAACAGTAACTGTTACTGGAACTGTTTTTTGAAGAAACTATGGCAGCCCTCTCAGGTATAGGGTTAGATGCTTCAGACTGATTTGAAAGGTAATTCACTGGTAAAGGGAGAAGAAATTCAAGATTACTATATATAAAATCCACTTTCTTCAGCTGGAATTCTGTGAGAAGCTGTATCAATTTATCCCAGTTCTCTTTGGTTGTGATCTTCTGCTGTAAAATAATAGTTGTGGAAAAGTATATTAATATATATATTAAAAAAAATAATGTATTTTAATGCAGAAAATATTACAGAAAACCTCATATTCCCAGCTTTAGTTACGAGGCAAAGGACGAGGTTTTCTGCCAACTGCTTCAATTCGCATTTTGCTTCATTACTGGAGAATATATTAACTTGGACAACAAACTTTTTCAAAAAGATTTCCTTCCAAGATAATATTCATAGTGACAACTGCACTGAAATATCTAGCAAAATACCTTAAGAAATGTGAACAAATCTTCTGACGGCAACAGGATGTTCTTAAGGCCAAGCAGTGTCTCCACACAGCCTGTGTCACATTTTGGAGATTCCTGAGGTGGGGCATCATGAGAAAAGTCAATCTTGGGACCTGCAGTCTTTCCAGAATTAATTGCTTGGTCTGCTGGATTTGTTTCACCTTCTCCTGCACAAAGACAATGGACATTACTTCAAAAAAAGCTACATCATGAACTTACTGGCTTTTCTCCCCCCCTCCCCCCAGTTTGCCTTAATTCCTTTTACAAAGAATGCTGCAGTTCTGAATGCATACAGAAACTGAAATTGCCCCAATCTTGCCCATTTCATTTCCTTAGTTCTCAAACTCTCCCTTTTTGCACGTGGCCATTAGAAATTATTTGTTATATGCATCTGTGTAACATGCTCACACTGAAGATACTCCTCCTGTATCCTTTATCCTATGGCTGCTCCCTTGCTAATTATCCAGTTTTTCTCCTTTTTCAGTTCTGTCTTTCAGGTGAGTTGCCTCTAACTCCACTAATGGA